TCGTATGAAATATAAGAAGACCATTGAGTGTATAATACTTTATTACGTAAAAATTTTTTATTACCAGTATACAATGCCGGTAGATATAAAAGTTATCAGTAATTTGGCGATTTGATTAAAGTATACATTGTATGTTTAATAAAAATTTTATTTAAGTAATACATAAAAGTATCTTTCTCGTTCCGTACTCATGACCGTACAATGCGACCTCGTTCGTTTAAAACTAGCAATTTTTTCTACCCCGATTTACTTTTCCGATGTTTATCATTATCCTAGTCAATAAAGTTTTGAACTTTACAGTGAACAAGAAACTTTGATAATTATCTGCCGCGGCAATTCATATCAATGATTTTATTTATTTTCGATTTTATAGTCGAAATGAAAACGATCGACTAATTTGCGAATATTTTAAACCATAATTCCAGGCACAATTTTTTATCCTAATCGAGTAAACATTTTTCTAAAATAATAGGGTCTCAGCATCGCACTCACATTAAATTATTTATCTCTTTATCTTATTACGCCCATCCTGAATTACTTTAGTCACGAATTGAAGATTACCTCAATAGTTTTAATTTTTTAATTTCAGATGGGAAACACGCTTATAGTGACAACGCTGACAAATGTTACTAAAAGTTAATATCAATATAAATAAGTGATATATTTACTATATATGGGACGCCAGTAATTTGACACTTATTCCCGATTACAAAATGCATAAGTAATTTTATCAAGCTTACCTCCTTTATCGCAATAAGTTTCTAATTTACACAATTTATCAAATTGAATAATTCGAATTATCATTATTTTATATTATTATACATCTTCATTATTATACATATAAGTTTATATACCTTTATTTATATTGCTTTGTACCTTAAAGCTGGGATTAATTATAATATAAAATATAAAATATATAAAATATAAAACTTAAATGTTATAGTATGAAATTTCGATTCAGCTTAAAGTAAAATGTTTTTTTTATATTTGCATACGTTTTACATTAAATACTAAAAATATCTTTCCAAACTTTTTAGTCAGACTTCAAACAACTAGCTTCAACAACTTTTATAGAAGGAGTTGGCTTATGAAATATTTAACATTTATTTTACATTTTACACATATTTTTTTTATTATTTCTGAGTAATTTATAATTTTTTTCTTAAATAAAGACATCCATTTATTTGAATTGCGATATCATACCATATATTCAATATTTTTTCAATGCAAATTGACTTGTACAATAAATTTTTTCCTTACTTTTCCGTCCAGAAGTCATATTAATTTTTTCTTTTTTTGTTAAAATTTGGCTTTCACCAAAATTATATTAAACAATAATAATCAATTAAAACCATTTCATATAAACTATTTATTAATTGATGCTGAAATAATAAGAAAAATATCTTAGTTTTCATTAAAATACATACATGACGATATGTTAATTTTTAAGATTATCACATAAACTGAGCAATTATTTTACAATTTCTTCGTTGTTTAAAGGATAAAAATTAATGGATAACTATGATGAATACATTTGTATGCATATAAGTGAGATAAGATACGATATACGGAAGTACCTGCACATTACATAAAATAATTTTGAAATCGCTTAATGGAATCGATTGTACATTAAATTTATTGTTCTTTGGATTATTCTTATATGTTTCAATTTTAAAATAAATGTATTAAGTTTTGTAATAAAATATTAATAAATTAGGTTGGTACAACAATTTCGGGTAATCTTTTAAAATAGTTGTTTTGATCGTTGGTCTTATCGACTTTAATCTTTAAACATAAATTTATAACTTACATTACTATTAATAATCAATGATAATATGGATTAAATTATTTTTAATAAATATTATAGTTTTATATTTTTATTTATATTAATATATAAACGAATAAAAAAATTTACATTTTCTTCAATTACTTTCACTTTCCGTTTAATAAAAATTATGTTTTATAAATTTATTTCATAGTAAAAAAATTTCTGTTCCTCATATATTACGTAAAATATAATGTATAACTAGTAAATGATTCATAAACATTTTAAACGCTGAATAAAAACAGATAAATGTAATTTATCTTTTTTGTCGCCTTTAAATGAAATAAAAATAGCAAAAGTGGCAATAAAATTAAAATAAATTAGTAATGTTAAGTAGCTCCTTAAGAGTTACAAACGTAGCTTGGATTAAACAAAAAATCTATATAATTTAACATACTTGGAATGAAAAAGATAAAAATGCCTTTGATATGAAAAAGAATTATTCAAGCGAATTTAAATAAATGAAATAATGCGACTGAAATTCTATTTTACAAATTTATACAAAAGGAGAAATGTGTTGTTGTCTAATTTAAAAAATGTCTGATATAAGCAATAGTATATTTGAATATTTTAAAATGTTTTCTAAAAATAGAGAACATGACGTTGTTCATATTAGATAAAAGTAAAAAAAAAAATAAATTAAATAGACGTAGTTTAAAATCTAGAATAAATACAATTTATTTACATTTATTTACAAATTTATTTACAAATTTATCGTATATGAATGTAATATATGAACATAACTAAATAGATAATTTGTAAATTTAGAATTTAATTTGTTGAACTATGATAAATATAATTATTAATTTTAAACATTAAACGGTTTCTTGAGTCTCCATCCTCTTCATGCATAGAAATCAATTACTTTTGTCAATTGTTCTATACGTAGAAATGTATCTGTATATGTGTGTGTATATATATCTATATATAGTAGTCACTAAAACGTAATTATACTTGTATTCTAAATATTCATAAAAAGTTATTGATTGACTATGAATATATCCACAATCTTATATACCATTTTGATACAATTATCATTTTATTTGAGGTATTTATCTTTTCCTTCAATGTACATACATGTACACATTGAAGGATATACAATTCAAATTCAAAAATATATCTACACACACTCATCTATATATATATATATAGATGAGTGTGGGTAGATATATTTTAAAATTTTAGTTAAATTATAAAGTTCAATTATAAAATTAAAAATTAAAATTAAAAATATTAATTTGGCCGTTAAATGATTAAATATTTCAGTCAGATTTAGCTGTATTAAAATATTCAATTCCCATTAATTATCAACCATATCTTTGTGTTAACATTTACATTTACTCAAAATTCGATTTTATCAATAATTCCAATTTTCCTGCTACGTTATTTTTCACAATTATCAGTATCCTAAATTGATAATTGATAAGTGAATTTTAAAACATTCATATATTCAGTAAATATTTTATATTCAATTCAATTAGAAAACTAAATAAAGATATACTTATAATTAATTATAAGCATGATTGTTTAGTATTTAAAGAAATTATGAAATAATTAAATTTTAAATGAAGATTAGCTTAATAAAACATGTTTGATGATAGTTCGTTAAATACATTGTAAATATATTTATTCTCCAAAAAATATAAATTAATATTTAACTTAACCATGCCAATCCATTATTATAATATAAGCATCTATATTCTTTTACCACGTTGAATAATTGCATATTTTCGATAAATAATTATTTTTGAAAATAACTACAATATTTGAAAATATGACAAAATTGCATAAAATTAGTGTTAATTCTATTTGAAACTTTAAAAATTTGTTTGGTAATGAGTAAAGTGATATTTTTGTTATAACTTTAGATTGAAGGCACAAATAAGACTTTTACGCGTTATATTTACGATGAAGAATCAATCACTCATTGGCAAGAATGAGGAAACATGCTAATTTGATAGAAACTGAAAAGATCTTTAAACAAATTATTTCTATTTTTGTTATACTATAATTGAAGGGGTAAATTTAAACGCTACTTAATTTATAAACTATATTCGTAATTACATGTGTTCATAATTATCTCTCTCTCTCTCTCTCTCTCTCTCTCTCTCTCTCTCTCTCCATATATATATATATTTTTTTTTATGATGTAAAATTTACATCATCAATTTACCTTAATACGTTTTAGTTAATTATATTATTGATTAAGTTTATGATCGATGAAAAGGTCTGATAGGGAAAAGGTACTTTGTATTTAACAGAAAAAAGCGTCTTTGTTGTAAACAGACTCGCTTGGGATGGTAGATAATTTTGTATTACTAATCGCTGGATCGGAAAATTCACGAATTTAGATACGAAGACTAATTTTATGAGTGACATTGAACAGCGGGCTATATTTTTAAATAAAGTAATAACATTATTGTCGGATTTTTTGGCCCATTATATAAGTATTGATTTGGCAATTATTGGTACACGTAAAAAGATTAGATCGATTAACCAAAATCTCGATCGATTATATTTAAGGATATTAGCATTTCAAATAGTCATGAGGGCATGCTATAAGGTATACTATATACACTAATCGCATCACGAAGCATCATTATCATTTTTACACATTTCAAATATCTTTGCGAAAGGTGAGTCAACGACGATAAGCAAAAAAAAACAAAAAAAAAGTAACTCCGTACTATCAAAAGTTACTGATAAGTAAAGATAGAACAAGTGTTTTTCCGGCTGGCGATAATATCGCTTAAAAAGATCCACATGCCGATATGTTTGCGCGCCTGTCTAATTATGATTTAGTAGGGGCAAGTGATGAATGCCGAAACGATTCAGTGGCAAACGTCGTCATAATTTAGTGAGAAAAACCCCAGGCGCCACGGCGTGCGTAAACCAATCCCTACCACAGCCCGTGCGATCTGTTGTCACCTCTCCACCTACGCACTTTCGGTTTGTCAGTCCAAGTGCGGCACTCGAGCGTCTGGCACGCAAGTATCAGTCAATCGCGGGGCTCTCGACGAGGATTATAAATAACATGGCGACGGGCACGGTTACGACCCTGGGGCAATTGCCCAGGACGATCGAGGATTTCGGCGTTCATTTGCATAAGGTAAGAAAGCGGGGCGATAGCGCGCCAACTTCTTATTCCTTTTCGCCGGCGTTTACCATTATCGATTCGGACTGTCATTTCACAGAACCTGGCCAATAAGATCCAGGGGAACTTTGTAAGCTCGGCCTTGAGCGCGCACATAGTGCTGTCGATGGCCGCCTACGGCGCTGGCGGCATCACCGCCGAGGAGATGCGATCGGCCCTGCGACTGCCGAAAAACGACGAGGAGGCCTATCGGGGCTTCCAGGAGTTCATTACCAGTCTCGACGTGAGTCATGATGAAAAGCGGGATTTCGTCTCAGGGCAATTTGACCTTTGCATTCAACGGCGCTAAACCCCGATAAGCCGAAGCCCACCGCTGGCTATACAGAATTTTGAAAATTATTGGCACGTTAGAGGGTATTTTCGGGAGACGAAATTTCTCTGCTTGCGATGCACGCATTTCACTTCTTCTTTCACTTTGAGTCTTAGTAAATTTACATTTTTGCTTAAGACATTATTTTAACGACTGTATTGCATGGTTTTTTCACTTGACGCGCTAATGTTGCGCGACAAGAATAAATATAAAGACGGGTAGTTTGTACTTTTAGACAAAATTCAACTGAACTTATCAATAAAAGAGATTTATATATGTATATATAATAAAGCTATGTTTGCAGTAATGTACTATGGTTAACATAACATGTTGGTAATTGAGGATAGAACGAGTCTTTTAATAATACGTATGTCCACACTAAGATAACAATTGAGCGTATTAATTGTAATCTAGCAATCAAAAAAAAAAAGAAAAAAAAATTGATAAAAAGAATTTTTTTAATTTAAAAGAAAAAGTAGGCTTTATCTTTATGAAATTTCGATCACAATTACAGTAATAGAGGAAAAATATTAAATGAAAATAGTGCAAATGTGAATGGAAAGCACCAATAGCTTAAATAATGTAATATATGCGAATACTATGGGCATTTTGACAAATATGAAAATTAAAAACTATTTTAATTACAAATTTTATTCGCAATTGGACAAATTATGGAATCTCTTTATGATGTATTTGAATATTTTAATATTTAAAGGTCTATAAAATCTTTAAAAATAGTAGAGCTTGTGTTTTAATCAAATTAACACTAGTTCATTACACACGCGCGCGCGTGCGCACACATACACATCATTCGTTATAATAATTCTTTGTTATACATAAACATTTTACAATATTGATTTTTTAACTAATTACAAGACATTTTTAATAAGTGGTCATCAAACATAAACATAATACGTGTAAATAGTTGCTAGAATGTACCTAACATAATAATCCTACGAATAATATCGATAAATCTTTTTCAACTTAATTTAGAATGTTTCAAATGTTACCCTCAAAGTGGCGAATAAAATATACAGTTCGAGCCTTCTCAAATTGAAAGACAAATTCAAAAATCTCAGCAGTACACATTTTGGCTCGGAAAGTGAATCGTTGGATTTCTCAAAATCAAATGCTGTCGATATAATCAACAAATGGTGTTCTGAACAAACGAATGGGAAAATACAAGACATTATTAAACCCGGTACATTCAACAATATACTTTCACATTATATTAACCCTATATTGCCATTTAATATTTACAAATCTTTTACAACTTATGATATTCATAATTCGATTTTTATCCTCCCCCCTCCCCTTAACAGAACAACTAGGTGTTGACATGAAATTAGTACTGCTGAATGCAGTATATTTCAAAGGAAATTGGAAAAAACAATTTGTTCGCGAACGCACATCATTGGCACCTTTTTATACTAATGAAACGACTACTGTAGAGGTTCCCATGATGAACGTCGTGGATAAATTTCATTATAAAGAGCTAAGTGAACTGGATGCTGAATGTCTTATTCTTCCATACGCGGTATATGTATATTTTGTTATATTTGACTAAAAAGCAAAATATCCCCATAAATTCCACAACAATTGCCATTATACCGTGCAATTTGACAATGTACAACCGCGTCTGAAAATTCTCGTATTAAATTTTAGAATGAAGATGTGAACATGATAATTATACTTCCAAAAAAAGTCGATGGTCTAAAATACGTAGAAAATAATCTCGAAAAATTCTCATTTAATTATGAAACAGATTTGAAGCATTATAAGCTCAAAATTGATCTTTCATTGCCTAAATTTAAGATCATAAGTGATATTAACATGGTACCATATCTTAAAGAAGTATGCAACGAATTTCTATTTAATATTAGTTATTCATTAAAATTATATTTTTATTAATTTAAAGTTATTTATAGATGGGAATGGTTAATATGTTTACTAATGAAGCAAATTTCAGTTCAATTTCCGATAGTCCACTAAAAGTGGACGATGTATTACAAAAAGCTTTTATTGAAATTAACGAAGAAGGTAGCGAAGCGGCCGCAGTTACTGGTAAGTACTGAATTATTAATTTCATCTCCCCTTTTCAAATAATATTATTAGCAATCTTAAAAAATATGTGCACTCATTATTTTGTATGTAGCATTTTTTATTCAAGTCAAAAGCACTTAGAGGCTTTATTATGACTGTATAGTTGCAGCGATTAGAGATTTGAAATGTAAATGTTAAAATATGAAACTAATGTTCCCATTCACGTACTTTCTTGAATTAATTTAATTTTAATAGTCATAAGGACAAATTAATTGTCAATATTATACTTTAATGTTAATTTAATGTTTCATGCTCAAGATAAATATTTTTCAATTTATTTAATTGACACGCTGTAAAAGAATAATTTTTCACGTTATTTCTTATGATATTTTTAAGTCATTTATTACATCTTCATTACATGTTTATATAATAGCAGTTTCTTGATGACGAAATCGTGCAAAATGTTTAATAATTTGTATATATTATAGATTATTATAAAATACAATTTTGTTATTAATTCGGTTGACGACAGAATTTTGTATAACAACTTTCTGCCTCTAGTTAAAAAGTAATTATAATAAACTCATAAATAATTGATTTTTATATTTCAATGAAATGAAGTCATATTTTCCAAATTTTTATTTTACATCAACAATTTCTTTATGATATTTAATGGTTGCTATTATATTGTCGTAATTTAGATATTAAACATATCGCATAAACTGTGAATTCCAGTAAAGAATTTATGTAAAGGTTTTAATTTTCATTCTTTTATTAATATTGAGAAAAAAATGTATATACTTGTGTTGGATTTGCAAAAATATTATTATACTTATACTATCATGATTACTAAGCCATTTGAAAAGTACTTCATTCCATATTTTTATAAACGTATAATTGACTATTACAAACTATAAATTCTATGTTGCATAATTAAGTTATATTTACTCTTATAAAATTAACACTCAATTTACATAGAAAAATGTTCAATTTTTTATTCCTTATTAAAATTATTTTTTTTAATTTTATTTTATCTAAAACAAAGTAATTCACGATTTAAAAAATTACCCTAAAATTACCTATCATTAATACGAAAAATACATAGCAATATGATATTGAAGAAATGCTTTTCTACTATTATTAACTTATGTAATTTTAGTATTTCGATATTTAAAATAAACAAGCAATAACGTGCTGACAGTTCGAAAATTCAAGTCACTCGTAACTAATTATAATAATGTTTATATTATTAGATAATTATTTTTAAAACAATGAAAAGATTAAATGAACGGATGAAAGTTAAGTTTTGACTAGTTCGCACCGAAAAACCTTAATATTCTCGCATCCAATGATAACACGGAGCATTTGTATATTTCGCACATGAGCTCTTTATGCAGGAGCCTTTAGATGAAAATCATTCGTTATAAATAAATGAAAACAACATTGTTTTAGCTCTTACAATGGTGAAGTTGTCTGTGGTACTACCTCCGATCCCATTTGTCGTGAACAGACCATTTTTATACAAGATCGTATACAAATCAAACACGTTATTCAGCGGCCGCATTGTCAATCCACAAATTTAATAATTTATTTGGACTATTTCTTAAATATTTAAGATTTGTAAAAGCGAATTCAAGCTCGACCTTTATGATACGTAAATTTTGTGCTCTATGTTTTAAGTAATTAATTTATGTTATGTGAGAAGTTTAAATGTGTAATAATGTATACTTTTTGTGTTGCAATAAATGTTATATTTATAATTTTTTCAAAATCATATCATTTCACTTACACTGGCATTTTCTGTTTCTATTATTATTTTTACTGTTATTTTTATTTTTTTAGATGTAGTAATGCATAAAGTATGTAGTGCTGAAAGTTTTATATAATAAAACTGCAAATTATGAATATTGCGTACTTAGCAGAAAATCTATCGCAGTACTGTAATGAGTTAAAAAAATTGTTTTTTGTTTATTTTCTTTGTAAAATGTATACGCGTGTCTAATTATATGTATTATATCAGTATTTATAGAAAAAATGATTATTAAGTCCAATTTGTAAAATAGAAAATTATTTTTTTAATAAAACGATTCTTTAAGTGGAATATTAAATTTTTTAAGTAACTATTGTTCTTAAAAATATAAAAGATGTCCGTAAATAAATACTGACACTTTTTATTTCAAGTGATATTAGTTTGGATTATTTAATTCTTTTATTAAATTAAGTCGTTAATTTTATGCTTAGACAATACTTTATGATATATTTTTTAAATCATTTTGTTCAATAAGATTAATTTACCGAAACCCAATTAATTTATAATTAACTTTCAACCAAATTTAATACTAATCTATGCAATATAATGCATACGAGCGCTTAAATAAAACTTTACTCCCAATTTCTCCATAATATGTTTATGTAATTTTTATTATTAAATTATAAATTTATATTCATTAAGTTCGTTATGATAGTAAAAAAAAATAAAATTCCTATGCAAAATAGTAATGTTAATAAAAAGTCAATACTAATACTGTGAAAAAAGATGATACTCTAAGATATATATATTTACATAAATTATTACATTATTATAATTATTTTATTAAGTATTAATTTTCATATATGTATGTACCACACTTAAATGTATTACATTTTTATTTAGGTTTGAGCATGAACTATATTTTACCGTCATACATTGAACCTATAAGAAAAATAAAAGTGGACAAGCCATTTCTATACAAGATTGTCTACAAATTTACTACAATTTTTGCCGGAAGAGTTGTTAATCCATTGAAAATGTGAATGGTAATAAATTTTGATCAGATCACATAATGAAATTAAAACAAAAATTAAACTTAATATAAATTCCAAGATTTTATTAATTTTTTTAAAATCAATTTGAAAATCTTAAAAAATTCCAATATAAAAATTTAATTTTGCTCTCTGAGAAATTTCACGACTAATATGATATAAATCTACATATAATTTAAGTATAAATAATGGTCCTTATGTATGCATCCACCATTCAACATGTTGAAAAATTAAATTAATATTATAATATAAATTAATAGATTATTGTTAATTATATTGATTAATTGATATTAAATAAATATTATCTGATTAAAATCTATAAATCAAACACATTACACGTATCAGACTTTTTATAATTTATTTACTGTATTACTATTATTGAATTACTACTGACAATACTAAGTGTCTGTGCTATTCCATTCTACTCGTTACATATATTACAGTGAAGTAAGTTATAATATTTTTACAAATCATTTTCGATATACGATTTATTATACAAGAGCATATCGTGACATTTAATATTCTCTTATTTATCGCCTTAAAGTATTTTAGAATGCTTATTATTGTATTTAACAATGTTTTAGCAAAGTTTCTTTTACCTTCGCTTCGCTCAATGCGTTAACTTCGTCACGAAGTCGACGATG